ATTTTTGTATGTATTTATTGTCAAAGCATTTAATATATTCATTGCTATCGGGACGTTAAGAGCATTCCATGGAATATAACAAAAAGTGTTTTCTGAAATAAATTACATACCCCATTGAATTATGACTGAAGATCGTCAGCTGTCTTCCTCTCCCTTGTTGTTCCTCGATACGTAAAGGCTGCAGCACCGTTGACAACTTCTCTCTACATATCAAACATACCGGTAAACCAGCATCGTTTGCTGTGAAAGCATATAACTCTGTCCACACAGAATTAAATCCTGTGTTCCTCCAGTACTTTTCTTTGATTTATCCATAGTTCGCTCATCGAGCCGCGGGTCAAGTTATTCACCCGGAGGAAAAGGCGCTCGCGCGGGACCGTAGCAGGATGTGACGCATATTTTAGTTGACCTAATTAAAACCGTTTTGTTTTTTATTTATGTGTCACAGTATCACCTCAAAATACAAGATACGAAACATTTTCAACCGTGCAATAAAAATATAAATAGTCCTACAAATACTTTTATTTTATTTCCTTCTTATTTTTGTCTAAGCTCAAGGGAGCCAGAGGGGGGGGCTTAAAGGGCCGCATGCGGCCCGTGGGCCACGGGTTGCCAACCCCTGGCCTAGAGCAAGGGCCAGGTCATCGGGGGAAACCACTGTGAGTGAGACATTTTATCCTGTCTTCTGTTTTCCCACAGCACGGTCTGTCTGATCCTACTGTTCTCGCAGTACCTCAGCAAAGTCGACGTTCCGATGATCGCTTACAAGGATAAGAAGTGGAAGGTTTTCCAGTATCCCCTCTTTAAGCTCTTCTCTGTGAGTTCCAAACATTGCTGCTTTTATCTTGTACACCATTGGTATCTGAACATGTTTGTTAAGTTGAGGTCATATGTGACGAGAAAAAGGTATGACGAAATGAGAGGATTGTGTATTTTCTGGGCTTGGAATTGACTTGAGTAAACGCAACCCCAGTCAAAGTCTTTAAATATAATTATCCTGTAACTACAGTTCAACATTGCTTGCGGCTATAGGTCAACACAAAAAATGTGTTTTTAAAGCATCATTATATAACAATAGGTTTAAGTCATGCACGAAAGCTTCTGGTCGCTTTCTATCATAACTGTATGCTGCTTGTATTTGATTGGTTGATTTACACTGACAATAGAGTATAAATATGTTTACTGGAAATGAATGCAGTATAACTTGTTTTTATCAATAGGCAGAACATTTTACTTTCAGTTCATCAAGAGGTGAACAAAACAGGTGTTACATGAATAGTAAGCATAACGTTGGTATAGGCCATGCTTTGTATCAGCTTGGTGTGAATGATTATTGTGAAGAAGTGGTTTTAAAAGATTGAAAAATATACAAAACTTAATGTAGGAGCCCATCCAGACAACGAAAGGCTGTAGGACTCTGTTTGGCTTCAGGGTTTGAATGATTTATGAATTAAGCCCCACACATTTTGACAGAATGACTCACATCTTGTGAACGCCTAAAACGCAAACAAAAAAACCCTAAAGGTCTTGAACTTACAGTAAACAAAGTTCTGTCATTCAAAGCTATTCATCACTGTGTGTTGTCCATCAAATCAAGGCATACAAAAATAAAAGGTGGCACTTTGAGCCAGGGGTTAACGTACATAGAAAAAGAGAATGTATGAGGTAAGCCAACACCCAACAGTTTCTTGAAAGGTCCCATTCATGTTTAAGTGGTTGTGTAATGCATGTCTTACTCTGAATGTTTCATCTGTAGTTTAAATATTATACCTAATTGTTACACAATGATTTATCCTCTATACAACTATAAATGGAGGTATCAGAATGGCAAAAGTGCAGAAACAATATAAACACATTTCTCTGGCATGTTATTCTGCCCTTAAGCCAGGGGTTCCCAAAGTGGGGAATACAAATAAAACAATTACGTGTGCATAGACCCCCCCCCCGTTGACAGGGGTCGCCAGCCTCTGGCACTGTTATTTTGAACGCCCTGCCTTAAGTTACTGTTTGACTTTCATCAAAGATCAACATTCTTCTGCAGGACTCTTTACTCCTGCATAATCCCTTTACAAATGCTTTCAGAAGTGCGCAGCGGTACAATGCACAAAGGCACATCCATGCTGAGATTGATCTCGAAGCAGTACAGTAACAAAACCATGTCTTTGGCTTGTCATTGACTTGGGATTGAAATCAAGATTCAAAGGTTTCAATGTCATTTGCACATCAGCTACAGTGTAGAAAAGGCAATGAAAATGTTATGACCCCAGCTCCTCCAAATAAATAAGAAATAGTGCTATATACATGTAAATAGAATATGACAAGAACAGAATGTAAAATTACATATTGTGTATTAAGACGAAATTAAATACGGTTTATTACGGTGATAACTATTTAGATAAATAAGTCAATTGCAAGATAACAAACAAGTGAATGTTTATCGAGGCACTTAACAGAGCTCAGGTGTTTAGGAGAAATCAGATGATTGGCAGGTTATCAGATGCTAGGCATGTACAGTAGGTGAGTTTAATATTTTACTCAATAGCTTCAAGGGTTTTTATTCTTCAAAACGTGCCGTGAATCCTGCCTCAACAGGCCAGAAGAAGTTGCTTATATAAATGGTTATGTTTTTCTACATTGGTTGAACATCACTGTCTTTTTTACATTACATTACATTGCATTTAGCTGACGCTTTTATCCAAAGCGACTTACAATAAGTGCATTCGACCAGGAAGATACAACCTTTAAGAAAACAGAATCATATAAGTACATCAGGTTTCATAGAGCCAAACATTTCAAGTGCTACTCAACTGGCATTTAAAAAGCCAGCCCTTTATTAGTATATAAGTGCTTTGTTAGTAATTTTATCGCTCGAAGTGGAGTCTAAAGAGATGAGTTTTCAGTTTGCGTCGGAAGATGTGTAAGCTATCTGCTGTCCTGATTTCAATGGGGAGCTCATTCCACCATTTTGGAGCCAGGATAGCAAACCCACGTGTTTTTGCTGACGGGAACTTGGGTCCCCCTCGCAGTGCGGGTGCAGCGAGCTGTTTGGCTGATGCANATTATGAGGGCTAGTATCCTTGATTATGCGATTAAACATGCAGGGTTTTTATGCGGTGAAATTGCGGGAAGTTGCGAAATATGCGGAAAGTGGCGAAAAAGAATANGTTTAAACCAGGTCACATTGAAACCTTAGAGCAGCGGTGTCCAAACTACGGCCTGGGGGCCAAATGCGGCCCGCGGGCCATTTTGAATCGGCCCTGAACAAATAAAAAAAGTATAATGAAATATGGCCCTCAAATGAAACTTTTGCTTTTCTTATATTGTGCTTCTTAAATATATATGTACAAATATATTACACAATAGTATTCATGTGTTAATAAGCCCACTTTTAAAATACATTTTGTTGCATAACAAGCTTGAAATACACCCTTAATATGTCATCTTATCATAAACAATCTGAGGCTTCTGTTTTAAGGGATGAGTTGCCAAGAAGTTAAATTAAACGCATAGAGCTGTGATACGTTTTTTTCTTAAAGCATATTCATGTATCAAGCCTAATTTACCTACATTTTGCTAACTTACACCTTAACTTAGGAGGCAATGTACCTCTAGTGAGAGGTCCAGCCCTTCATATATTTTTCTGTATGTGGCCCTCGCTGAAAAAAGTTTGGACACCCCTGCCTAACGGCCCGTCTACACTACAGGCATCAAAAAANGTAATATCTTTAAAAACTACAAGTCCTTTTATATCAGCTGTGCACCGTTATGGTGTAAATATAACCTATCTACGAATTAGATCAAATGTAAAAAGTCAGCCAAATTAGTGTTGATACTGCAGGGAGACGTATTGTGTGAAGAGAAATTGAAGATGTTGTTTAATTGTTGATATATTTATGATCCACGTCAAGTATTCAGTTTCGGCGGCATTTCTTCCAAGGTCTTCTCATCAGGGCTCTATAAATAGAGAACTACGGCAGATCTGTAATATGTAATGCAGCCGAACCGTGTATTACAATGCCGTTATGTGATGACTTTCAAAGAGAAAAGCAAGAACACTCGGAATTAAGTATTATTTTATTCTATTAAAATGTTTTTCCGATTTCATATCATACAAACACCAAATCCCAACATGCATTGCGGCTAAAACATCCAATTATACGATTTAAAATAAAAGCAATAATTGTGGCTTGATATTAGAGTAAGAACATGTTTTTATGAACCAGACAGCTTCCGGTCTTCCTATAACACGTAATGCCGTGAGACTACTAATAGAAATACATTGCTTTTAAAATCGTGTTGGTGAACACGAATCAATAGATTAAAAATCGTGTTGGTGAACACGAAATGCCATGAGACTGGGTTGGCACATTGTGTGCATTAACGTAATGCATAGAGTCTATGATGTAAATATGTTTTGAGGTTTTGTCTGGGTGACATATCAACTGAATGTTCTCTACCTGGTTTTAAAGGATTGTCTAGCAGAATGCTACCAGATGATCTTAAAGGTCAAGAAACATTATGTAGAAAGATAAAACAATCTTAATAAACCCATTGAGGATTTATAGACAAGAAGACCAGAGGTCGAGATCAAAGGTCAACAAGACGCCATGTCGACTCAACTCAATCTGGTACACAAACATTTTGATCCAAATATCATTCTAAGATTGTATTTCCTTACATTATTCAATTGAACTGCCTGACCTTTGAAGTCTTGTGGACTTTAGAGTTCCTGATACAATTCAATTGAATATCTTTATTAGCATGACCACAATTACTTAAAGTATTGCTAAAGCTCTGTATAGTTACAACATCCTTACACAAATACTTACATATAAACAAGCTGCTCAAAAAGTGGATGTGGGAAGCAGCTTTTTTTGAACTAATAGGGGTTATCTTTTTCTTACAACGACTGTATGTACACATCTGATTTAAATTAAACTCATCGAAGTTCAATCAGGAAGACTAAGGTTTATTCAATCTCATGTCTTACTCCATCCTACATTACTGGCATCCACTCTTTTAGATACCATGCAGATGTATCCCATTAGTGGCATGAATACAGAACTTTTTAAAGGCATGTAGAGAATATGCTCGCGCATTATTTGTGCCAAGACACCAATTCATAAAAAAACAGGGTTCATATTCATAAAAAACGTCATAAAATACCACTGAGCATCATTTGCATACATATCATTAGATGGTAATTTTGATAATAATTGAACAGGCACCTCAGTTATTAATGCCTGCATTGAAAATACTATTGGTTTGCGTTGTGTTTTATTCAGTTGTTGCTTTTGAAATGATCCGTTATACTATTGTATGCTTACGTAATATAATGTCCTGCCAAAAACATTATGTACAGAGATTTTTAACAGCAACATGTTGAGCCAAATGTGTCTGTGTGTGTATATTCGAATGTTTTGCCACATGGAAATAATCATAAAGTCTTACATTGTTCCCATTTACATTTATGAATATGGAAACTGACCCCAAAATGAACACCCTAAATATATTGATTGCTTTTGAAGGACACATGCATTTAATATTTGACAGAACAAAGAAGATTCTAGTGAAATATAAACTATTTGCATGACCGTTATAATAGAAAACCATGAACCGTTAAATGATCAGGTTTGAAAATCAGTCCAAACGTTGTAGAGTTTTATTATGGCAGCAAATGTTCCAAGAAACTAAGGAACACATGCTCCACATGGTCTCCACATTGCTTCTTTACCAATTGTGGTTGTGAAAAACGATCATTGAATAAGAAATAGTCATTATTCCATGTTGTACAATATATTAGCTGGAGATCACTTA